GTAGCGTCTGTGCACTGAGGGTGTGTAGAAGACTCTGCACAGTAGCGCCTGTGCACTGAGTGTATAGAAGACTCTGCGTGAAGCACTTCATCAGGTCTCCCAAACAGGAGACTACGGTGTGAACAGTAAGGCCTCCTCCACCCAGAGGTCAGCAACAGTCAGCAGCGCTGTCGGTTCCAGCTGCTCATTAACCTCTGCTGTGGAAAGTCACCCCCAACAAAGGTGTGGAGCAAATGCTGCATTCCGTGTGCAAGACAAGAAGCACAGCTGCACAATCACACTTCATGCCTCTGTGGCCATCTCCTGAGGGACCTGCTTAGGGATCTTTTAGGCCCAGTCATCTACAGGGTCTCCCCACTGTCTAACAGTAGCTTCCCAAAGTTCAGGATATGTCCATCTAAGCTTTACCTTGCTCTGAATTTCTTATTACTAAGTAGATGGAAAGGTTGGTAAGAAAGGTGCCAAGCCTGAGCATGATCCCCAAGATCCACGCTGGTAGAAAGGAAGAGCCAGTTCCTACAAGCTGTCCTCTGACCACTCATGTACTGTGTATATGATTGTACATATACATAGATGAACACAACAAACAAGAACGCAAAATCAATTCACAACTAAGTAGCTGGAGAGGTTCTGTGAAATTCAAATGTGAAATTCAAATTCAAATGCCACTCCAGGAGGTGGGGTAGTTTTCCACCCAAAGCAACCTGCAGATGCAGACCAGAGGCAGATGCTTGCTTCGTCAGCCTTCTTCTACCTCCAGCACCACAAGAAAAAGGCTCATGCCTATTATTCTCTCAGGAAGCAGAGGCTGCAAGCAGGGCCAGCCTGGACTACAGAGTGAGACTCTGTCTTAATAAAAAAGAAACAAAGGTGGGATGGAGCTGATGACAATGCTTGGTTGTCTCTTGCGCAGTCTCAGCAGCCACTGTGCTCAGTGTCCAGGACTGTTGATCCTTCAGAGATAACTCTAACTGAACCAGCCCCTCTTCATTTATTGGAAAGACTTGCAAAACTCTCATCTACTCTCTAGTTTCCCAAGGGATGAAATGGAGCAAAAACAGGACAAATGCTCTGCTTATTCCTTTCACTCATTTTTGACTTCACTCATTTCCTTCAAAGACCAAGTAATGTCCTGAAATAGTACTGGGGACTCACAGAGCCAAACTTTCTGGTCCAACATGCTCTGCCTCTCCCACACTGCAGGGAGGGACTGACAGTACTCATAATGTCTGCCTCTGGACTCACCTGTGCATTTCTGAGACAGGCCTGAGAAGCAGTCATTCCTCTGTGATCCTGGCTGCATGGGGAAAGCGGTAGCTACTGGGCTGGTCATGAATTCATACTGACACTTCTGACTCAAATTCAGACATACTTAGCTTTGACCTCTACACAGAAGGCTGGCCTGAGTGTAATGTAATGATCAGTTGTCCTGTCATTTCTTGGAATACAAAGAGGCTGGGTAATCTGTCCATGATCTTGTGTAGGCAAGTGTGTGTGTCTACCCAGGCATGTGTACACACAGACCATGGGGCATATGGGGAAGCCAGAGAACAGTCTGCAGAGTCTACTATGTGGATCCGAGGGTCTTCAGGTCTTGCCTGAACATCTTGCCAGACCACTGCCCAATGTCTTCCAGCTGCCCTAACCACACACATAGTACTGTCTCCTAGACAGCTCTCATTTGGAGGCAGGACATCAGGTTAATGTCCATTCAGTGCTCACCAGTAGACCTGAGTCAGACTATCTCTGTGGTTTGGGGTTTCAAACTCCATTTCTAGCTGACATGTCAGAATGAGCCCAAAGTCTGAGTTCTTCCAAGTTGACAAGTTTGTCTTTAGCCTTTATACTTGGAAGTCAGTTCAGCTGGATATAAAAATCCTTGGCTGGCATTTCCTTTATGTCTTGGAATACCTTTTTCCTCTGGCATAAAGTGCTGCGTTTGAAATCAGTCTTTCTTTTGCACAGAAGTGCACAGAAGCGACTTCATCTCTTTTGTCTGAATACCCAAAGGCCCTTTCTGAGTCTAAAATCCAGTACCTCTATTACAAGTGTCTGGCTGGGCACTGGTCACCCAGGTTACTTTCTCAGGCACAGCACAAGCTCTTTAACGTGTTGTAGTACAGTGTTCCTGCAGGCTGTGCTTTCTCAGACCACACAGAATAGCACAGGTAGTCATCACACACCCAGAGAGGGCACCTGACTATCTACAGAAACTGCTTGCTTTCCACAGCAGTAATGGAAGCAGAAAGGGTCACCGTGCAAACTGACAGAACATTCCCTGCCATTACACTTGTCCCACCAAGGGCAACGTTCTTACAACACTTACTTTGAAAACAACCACAATACATACTTCCACTGGCTACACGAGATCAGTTTTCCTGATGACCTGACTAGCACAAAAAGTCTTTCCCCCGTGACTTTAACATTCCTCTGAAGAGTGAATTCCAAGGTGTTTCCTTAAAACTGCTGCCCTGCCCACTTCCCTTGGGCGTGGCAAGCTATGCAAAGGACCACGGTTCCCAGCCTGGCCTACCAGTCACAGACTCATGGTATAGGCTGCTTACTCTTGAGAGAAAGTTTTGAGTAGAAGGCTAGCTTGCTGGTTTCCAGCTGGGCATCCAGTTCCACATAGTTTTCCCTACGCAACAACCTGCCTGCCCTTCTTACTGGGGAACTCCTCTGGCATCCTGTCCATGTCCGTTCCCACAGAGCTCTGTTGAGATCACAAGTTCCCTCATACTCTGCCCCGCTAGCTCATACTGCAAGCGTTCCATTACAGCAATTTAAACACTTTTTTTTCTGGTTCTTCTTGTAGATTTACTTCTCTGCACTTATTTTATGACAACATTATCCAGGTGGAAAAACAACTAACTAAACAAAATAAAGACCTTCCCATCCCCAAATCTTCGTTTCTTCTTTGTATCTACCTGGAGCAGCACTGGATAGTATATTAATTTTCGCATGTTTTCAACACACTGCAACTACCTAGGAAGCCTATTCCCGAGAACCCACATACTAAGAACGGAAGCCTCTAAAGCAGACAGCAAGTGCTGTCCACCAGCCAATCTGCAAGACAGGGTAGCTGTTAGCTAAGGGAGCTCCTGTGACAGTTGACTGGGACAGATCCCTGTGCTAATTCTAAGACAAAGCAGAGCAGGGTCGGTCTCCCACAAGCAATGATCTCCTCCCCTTTCTCATGTAGTTAGGATTAGGATAAAAGACAAAGTAGCTAGCTATTAAAAACCAAACAGGTGGGGCTAAGAGCTCGGGAGTAGAGCACCCAGTTGGCTTGGGGTAAGGCCCTGGGTTTGGCATCCAACACTATAAAAGAAAAGCAAAAAGTGGAGGCAGGAAAGGTCAACATAAAATCAGCAGTGGGAAGAACAGGAAAAGAGTGTAAATAAGAAATAAAGTTTACATCACACCAACTAAAGCCAATAAAGTGCACCTTGAACCCTTCTCCATACATGCCATGCCTAAAGACTATCATGAGGCCACACAATACCGTCAGTGCACACTCCGGTGCTTACATAAACCTACACACAGACTCGGGTGGGGAGCATCCCAGACCTAGAACTCCCCACAAAGCCCCATGAAACACTGTCTCCTGGTCGGGACTTTTTGCAGTGACCTCTCTCAATGCATCTTTTTCTCTAACTTTCAGAACAGCGATCTCTCCCACGGAGATTAGGCTGCATAGCGAGTTACTGCTGAATTGAAAATTAAGCTTTCCAGCAGAAAATATAAGATATATCATTCTGAACAGTAAGAGCTAAGGTTTATTTTTATTGTAAATGATGTGTTTGTGTGTGAGCTCGTGCCTGTGTGGCTATGTGCGTGTGAATGCAGGCACCCAAGTAGGTCAAAAGAGGAATCAGATCCTGTGGCACTGGTTTATAGGGGGCTGCAAGTCACCCAATGAGGACGATGAGAACTGAAGCCAGGACCTCCAGGAGAGCAGTTCTGTACTGCCATGTCAGGTTCCCCAGTTCCAGGGGCTCTTCTGAATCAGGAGAGCATCTGCGGAGAACCCAAGCTCACCCTCCTCTGCACCTTAAATCGCCCCTAAATCACTAAGTGCAATGTTAGTAGTCACTGTTTAGACAACAAGAAAAAGGGTCTGCGGACGCTCAGTAAACCACGATCTGTGTGTGCGTGCAAGCGTGTGCGTGCTGTGCAGCTGGGAGCGTCTGTGGAGACTAGAGGTAGACCTTAGGTGTCATCCCTTGAGAGTCATACACACTTTCTCAAACAATCTCTCTCTGGAGCCCGGTGCTCGCCACTTGGCTAAGCTGGTGGCCATCAAGCCCAGCACGAGAAGAGAAGTGCACGCCACTGGGGATCAAACTTGGCTTGTCATGCCTGCAGAGCAAGCTGTACTGACTGACCATCTCCCTGCCTCTTGACATATTTTTTTTTTAAGATTTTATTATTTTGAGGCAGGGTCTCACTCCATAGTCCAGGGTGTTCTGCAACTCACTACGTAGCTCTTGAACCTGCTATTTCTCCGTGCCTCAGCATCCTGAGTATTGTAAGTATAGACATGAGTCCCTATGTGTAACTTTCTGGATAGTTTTGATGCAAAGTTGGCTGAATTCATGTATGAGAAGCCTATGGCTGCAGGGAATGACAGTGTGCTCATCTCACACATCCAGAACTTTTCAAAATGATACCCGTGCCAAGATGTGAAGTATCTGGAAACACCAGGGCTCTCCCCCTCTGCAGTTATGATGATAATGACACTGAGAAAGCCATGGCTTACCTTCCTTCCATGTTTAGGATGCACACCAGCTCATCCTCAAAAAAGATCTCCGGCCCCTCGAGGTTTTCAATGTCACTGAAGCCGTTACAAGGAACCTATGGGAAACACACACACACAGGAGGCCTCAGTCATGAGAGTTAGCCAGGCTAGCACTGGCAGACACACAGCTGAGCCACAACTGAGAGCAGCTGCACACGGGACAGTGACAGCAGCTCTTGCACACTATCTCCTAGGGCTTTCAGGGCAGAAAGCAACAGAGAAATCACAGCACATTTAGGCCCTGGCAATTGAGTCACACACACACACCCCACTCTCACAGTCGGGGAGTTTCTGAGCCTGCTGGCGCCAGATTCTCATGTGCGAATACAGCTAAGGCTGCAAGTCTCCAATCTTCCAAGATCTTTGCTACACACAACTAGGAGAGGCAAGACGTTTTAGTCCGAAACAGAGGTGCTCCTGGGGCTCCCTGGCTGTGTACTCTGCTCTGTACCCCAAGGCAATGAGACATGTGTGCTGAGGCAGTGATACACGTGTGTTGTGGTGGAGGCACACGCATGCTGAGGTGATGGTGAATGGCTATCGAGGTGGCGGTACATGAAGACTCTGGGGTCAAAGTCCCAGATGTCCCCCAGTTTTCCTCATGAGAGCAGCCACAATGTTTCATGGTGACTGTGTGCACATGGAGAAAGTAAGACTACCAGGGTGCTGAGTCCAATCAATCACCCACCTGTGAGGCCACCCTAAGTATGCCCCTGCTGTGTTCAAAGTCCTCCACACGCTCCTAATTAAGTAAGCAGTGGTACAAGGAAGGAAGAGGGAAAAGCTCACCAACCCATCGTGATTAGACAAAGGCAGACTGTTAAAGGCACACAAAACCCCAGCTGGCTTACAAGTAGAGGCTGTGAACCAGTAGCCTGTGATGAACCACATCATACATGTCCTGCACCAAAACACCAGTGTGTATGTACACATTTAAGCCAGTACCGAACACTTGTGATTATAGACTGGCTAGGGCACTGCTCCAGGCTGAACAAAACCTTGGTTCATGCTGCTATTAGTAAGCATTTTATATAAACAAATTGGAGAATGTCTATATGCAGTCCCCGTAGGGGACTAAGTTAGAACGTGTTGAAAGTCAAATCTGCCCTTTCAAAACTTGAAACACCTTGAAAACACTGTTCATAAATTCCGTTAACAGCAGAGTGGAAAATCAGAAGTAATCTTCAGAAAACAACCTCCATCACACCAGAAGAGTAAAACTAAGAGTGTCAGCTCCACTGGTAGATGCCCAGTCTGCAGAGAAACGGGAAATAGGAGGAAACCGTTTCCTAGCCCTAGGGAAAGCAGCATCAGGAATGAACACGGATTTCCATGGGACATTCTGGACGAGGGGAAAACAACCGACTCCAAAACAGAAAAGATCTAAGCCAATGAAGAAAAGCAACTTGAGCCAGGTTTGGCGATGACTCCTCATAATCCCAGCCCTCAGGAGGCTGAACAAGAGTTTAAGTCCAGCCTGGGCTACATGGTGAAACTCCCCTCAGAACAAAGAGCAGCAGTGTTAACAAAAATTCCCAATTGCTGGGAGCAACAGATGCTAGACAGTGAGCTATAGGCAGTTTTTAACCCCAGCACCTTAACAAATAACGCAGTTCACCACTTAGTTCGGGCTGCATTTATTTCAGCAGCCTTCCTGGGAAAACAAGCGTAAGGGCTTTGGAGTACCCAATCGTTGATGGCTCTCAAATCACGCGGGGGTTGCACAAAGCCTGTGTAACAATCTTGAAGAAAAATAAGGCTTATCTGGACCCAATGGACACTGCCCTGTGTATCCCTCCCTGGTCCTCACAGCCCACTGTCTCTGGCTTTAGAAAAGCAGGGCAGGGCTGGCAGGGACAAATGGCTCCGTGTTGTTGGACGGGAGGGAAGAGGACACAATGACTCTTACAGCCGTATAAGCAAGGGATTGTGTGAGCATAGAAAAGGGAACTAGCAGTAAGAGTCGAGCAGCTAACGCGCGTGTACACATGTGCGTACACATGTATGTACACACGCACACACAGCCTGAGTCACATAACAGGTGCTTACATGCTCTGAAAAGAACCGTTTGGAGAAGGAGGCTACAATCTTCCGGGCTTCTAAGCCAGCTTTCTGTCGAACTTTATATTCCTCTAACCAATTGACGTAGTCGGTGGGGCTGTAGTGCTTCATCAGGGAGGGCCACCTAGAAGGGGAGAAAACACCTTTCTCAGCGCAGCGGAGACTGCAGAACCTCTGACAGCGGAGAAGCCTGCCGGGAAGGGGAGCCGGCAGCGGCTCTAGTTGCAATCTCCATTGGGCATCCACGCACTCCCTCTCTACTCCATGCAGTGACCTTGGCTTGGTGACGGGAAGACAGTGTTTCCACCCCCACCCTCCCATTCCGTGGTGGACACAATCACGGCGATGATGCTAACGGTTTGCACTGATGGCGCGCCTCCTCAGCACCAGGCCCCGCAATCCGGGGCCGCATCTCATTAGATCCCCCACGCAGCAAAATAGGGGGAGGTGTCTGTCTAATCACGGAATGGAAGACCCAGGCTGCCGAGAAGGGAGGTGGACGGCACCCCTTCCACCCCCAAGGTCACGAGATGGGATGGCAGGTCCTATCCCGGCATCCCAGCCAGCCGGGAACGCACGCAATCCCGCCGGCACGTAAACATCCTGTGCCGAGCGGGCCACAAAAGATGCGCGTCGCGGAGCCGGGAGGCGCGGGAGGCCGCAGCCGCGGGGCCGAGCGGGAGGCCGGG